ACACCATACTGCTGCTTAACATGGTCTGGATGTGAGTATTTCCCAATTAATTCAGGCATACTTTGGATATCCATCACTAATATAGCATCTAGAGCGCTAGGTGATAATGTTGTTTCAATGTCTTGTGGCTCTGCCAGTGCAGCCCTTCTGTGCCGTATTTGATGTCGACTTCGCCGTTTCCGACGGTCCGGTGTGGGGTCTGATTTGCCACGAACCATCTCACAGGATTCTCAATAATTGGAAGATATTATCAGGAGCTCATAGAAGCCTATGGGAGGTCGCAGAGGTTTGCAGGGGTTCACTGTGTAAGGTATAACCCTACTTTGTGCCACAGAAACCAGATGGTCTGACTGAGAGGTAGTATCATCAAGAGAATGTTATTTGTTGGTAGTCGGACATTCTAGGCTTAATTCTGAGCATCCGAGTATGTTTATCTTGCTGATAGGATATGTGGTTGAGAATCTATAGATTATTTTTGAAAAATCAGTATACATTCTGGTGAAAAAACACGAAGTGACCATTTTTGACACGGTTGTTCGTACCTCAAAAGGGCTCCTATCATAATAAAAAATAGTGTGTTCTATAGCTTTTTGATAGACAAATCTCCCTTACTATGCCGAATTGTGTCAATTGATAAGGATGGAGTTGGCGCATGGAGCAAAGTTGGCCATCCCTTCAAAATGACCCGGGGTTACTAACAACGCGCGACCGTTCTTTCTCAGACGCTTCGCGAAGGAAAATTTTCCTCCTTCCTAATTAAGACTAGTTTAAGCCATGTAGATTATGATTGGTCCAGAAGATCTCAGCACTTGGCAGAAGTCAAAAGGAGTTAGCTTATAATTTTACGAAGCGAAGTGGCTGAGGAACTGAGATAAGAAGTGGTGTTGTCCCAAAAAGTGGTGAAGTACTGGTACGTTACCCATTCCAAAGTTTGCAAAGGACTTGAAACGCTCGGAAAGATTTTTTTTCTTTTTTTTCTTTTTTTTTTTTAAATTCTCTGGCTGAGAATCTTCGTTTTTCAGAAATTTATCTATCTTAGTAATCAACCAAAACAACTAACTATACAACTATATACATACAATCTATGATGTAACGGTGTGTGCCCCTGCTTTGCAAACGCTGCTTATAAGTATAGGTGGCTGGGAAGAAGCCTGACATTTTATGGTCGTTGTGGCCTAGGTGGCTTACCACAGTATGCCTGGCCAATGCCTGATCATTACAAGTAAAATATTTATAAGTAACTAACTAGCAGCAAAGTGTTGAAGAAACAGCTCATTGCTTTCAATTGGATTTTTGAAAAAGAGAAAAATATGATGACAATGAAATGAGCCTGATCATCAAAGGCAATAAATAGCTTAGCAGTAACCTAGTGGCAAAAGTTGCAATTTTGCAAGAAAAGTCTCAAAAACACACAAGTCGCGCCCAATTTTCATTTTCCGAGTTCATCATATTATTCGCCGGAACATCTATGCCTTTCCATCACGTCCCATGGACATGAAAATGGAGATGAAGACAGATAGAAAGAAAAGGAAAGGAACCAACAACTATGTATCAAGCATACGTCTGAAATATACTCGGACTCCCATACCAATCCACATCCTCAAACAGCAACGGCGACGCATGAGTCGAGGACGCTGAGGACTCTCCAGATGAGAGGCCCGTCGCGTGTAGCGACTCGACGAGGAATGGTGGTGTGTCCACTGTTGTCAGTGAGGAAGAGTCCTCGGAAAGGTCTAGTAGGTGGAGTGGTGGTTGCTGCTGCTGCTGCTGCTGTTGTTTAAGGCCGTTGTCCGTGTTATTGCAGTTGTTGTAGTTTATGTTGCAGTTTCTGTTTGTGGTGCTGTTGTGGTCGATGAATTTACTGTAGAACTCCGAGTTTGTGTCTATGAGCGGGTCATAGATGTAGGGGGAGAGAGAGCCGTTGCTGTCTGCATCACCGCTTGTAGTAGTGGTATGGCGAAGGGGCGGGGAGGAGAAGTTGAAGGTGCAATCGGGGGTTTCCCAGGGGAATTCGTAGTGGTCGAGAAGGAGTCCTGCTGAGTCTATGGAATTTGGGTCGAGGAGGTGTGGGTGGAGCGGTGCTGTTGTTGTGATGGGGGATTGTCTCTGTGTCTCTGACTGCGTCTGCAATTGTTGCTGCTTCCCTGTGGGGAAATCACTGTTGTGATTATGTGGAAGATGATGTGGATGTCGACGACCGTTACTGTGGTCGTTGTTGCTATTACGTCCCGTATCGCCGCCACCAGTACTACCCAACATCCGATCGAATTCATTCCAATCAATGCGTATACGCACGGCATCAGGCAGAACAGTGTAGTTCTGCGGATCCGGAGTAGCAATGGCGGAGAGTACGTCGTCTACCCCATCCAAACCCAATCCCGTCACAGCGGCACCAGCATCCCCGCCAACCTTACTCGGAAAGTCAACCGATGACTTACCGTTTCCGTTTGCATCGGCCTTTTCCGCTCCCGCTCCCGCGCCACAAGCTCCCGCGCCACCTCCGTATCCCGCATACCCCCCGCCGTTGGCGCTAATTCCCGCTTCCAACCTCTTCAAATACGCACTCATCTTCTTCCCTTCCATAACGTCCCTACCAAACCTCCCAGGCGTAATGCCCACGACCTTCTTAAAAACGCGATGAAAATGTGACGGGGTCAACCCAGCCTCAGTCGCCAGATCCTGCAGCGTCGGCCGGGCTCTCGCCTCGCCACTCTTAATACCGCTAGCAGCCCGCAGTGCCGCCAGGGTCATGGTCTGGCAGGCACGCTGGGCGAGCTTGATATGCGGATCTGGCGGGGCGCGGAGGTCTTCCGGCTTACAGCGCTTGCAGGGGCGGTAGCCCGCCTTCTCAGCCTGTTTGGGGGTGTCGTAGAACTCGACATTTGCGCGGCGGGCGAGACGGGCTGGACAGCGGGGCCGACAGTAGATTTTGGTGGTGCGCACGCCATAGACAAAATCATTGGCTGTGGCGTCGCGGTTGACGATTGCGCGCCAACGGGTCGAGGACGACATGGTTGCCACGGCCATTGTTTGAGGCATTTGTTGTTGATATATACTTCGAATGTTTTGCTTGAAGTGTGATGGATGTTGTCTTTGTTGTTGTTGATTTTGATTTTGATATCGAATTCGTTTCTGGGGTATATATATAGACCCGTGTCCTGGGTTGAGAAGGATAAAAGAGGCAAGATTCCGTCTCTCTCTCTCTATCTCTCTCTCTCTCTCTCTCTTTCTATATATATATATATAAGATATAGATCTCTTATAGTCACTGCCAGTGGGAGCAAGTTGAGGCGGATATGCTCTGGGAAGGGTTTATCTGGCAGGCAAGAGCAGGAATCGAAACGGTAACGGCGGGCGGCGGAGCGATATTGAGGAGGCGGAGAAAGAGGTGGTAAGTGGGTGATAGGGTATGTCCACGGTGTTCAAGGCCATCAAAGATAGCTGCGGGCGTTTGTCTAAAAGCGGGGTTCCTTGGGAGATGCTTTTGCAGTTGCTTCTCTGTTTCTGCTGTGGGGGATGTTTATGATGTACGGAATCCTTCCCTCCCTCTCTCTCTTTTCTTTCTCTATGATATCTTAATAGAGTGTTCCAGGCAAGTATTCAGATATATTCAGATATAGGATACAAGAAGAGCTACAGAAGTTGCCGATGGTCTGAGATTTTCCACTTCCCGGTCCTTTCTGGTTGCTCTCGGTCTGTCTCTTTCGTCTTTGAGCGGCTATTGCCCGATTAAATACGGCTGGGCAGCGAGGGCAGGCGCTGCGCCTGTATATATATTCCCTCCGCCGACGGTTTCCCAACTGGGAGCCAGAGCGGCGGACTGGGCCCCCCGCCCCGTGACTTGCCGCGTCCCATTGGTCAGTTTGGCAGCAACGCCTGCAAGCCCCTTGGCACAACCTTGGAACACAACCTCGCCAGTCACGGGGGTTGCCACGGGGTGGCAGAATTCTCACCAGAGCAGCTGCTGATTGGCCGACGTATGTCATGGGCGAGACCGCCAAGGCCAACCAATATATTAGTCATCATAGAATCCGAATCATGTGACAATAGAGGCTTGGCATTGGCTGACTCCTGCCGCAGCCTCCCGTTGAGGTTCACCTTCCAGACATAGCCGACCGGGCTTGGCAGCTTGGCCGTAGCCTGATCGATTTTGTTGTGTGTGCCGAGGCTTTGGGACGGGCCTTTGTTTGCAATGACCTCATGCCAATGGCATCACCAGCGGCATCTGGGCGTATCCATGGCTTCTACTAGCCGGGTAATCCTACGGAGTACTGTGTAGTTTATTAGATGATGGCTTCGATTGGCCTTACATCCTTTTTTTTTTTAACCTCGGTCAGGACCAGAGGATCATGGAGAAGAGACCATGAGAAGAAAACGCAACAAATCTGCCAAGTCAACCAACCCGCTCTAACTCCAAGCTGACTAGTGTTATATAATCGGCCAACATAGAGATTCGCCAATGTATCAACTTTGCCCAATATGTTCTTTGGTAAAAAAAAAAAATCTCAATCTCTCATGAATTTTGGGGAATATGGCACCTCCATCCAGTGAATTGATTGGTGCTGCTGGATGTCGCTATCTCTTCAAACTGATTCAGGAAAGACCACAACTCGGTCGTGTTTGGTTGGCAACGTGCCATCATGTAGTGTAGTTGTTGAATTGAGTGTGCTCCAGGTCTGGACAAGACAAATTCATTTTGAAGGACATCTCCAAGACCACTTTCTCAAGCTTTAATGAAGACATACATTCACAGCTTCATGAAGGCCCATTTCTACAGTTGCCACATGACACAATTCCAGATCAGCAGATATTTGTGTACAAGTACATGGATGATGACTTTCTGAGCCTTGTTAGAAAGCAAATATCCATGCAAGTCAAGAAACAGTTTTTAAAAGCCAGTTTGCAAGAGATTGCTGAACTGCACAGCCATGATATTGTCCATTTAGATGAAGAAAGCTCTCTTCAGTGTCATAATATAAGACTAATTGATTTAAGATATCATGAAACAAGTTAACGATAAGGAGGTCAACAGCCAGGTGGCATACTATCACCCCTACAAGCCATTCTCAGATTGGCCAAATGTCAATGACGACAAGTTCGAGGATGTTATCCATTGGATGACAAACTTGGATTCTCAAAAACAGGCAACAGCGCGCGAAGTGTTGGAGCACCCATGGTTTGCTGGTTGTGAGCTTTATTAAGTGTCCTGAATATATACCTGTGGTGAGCTGTGGGTTGCCCCTGAGGAGAAAGATAAGGACACTGCCAATCAAGGCTACCCTCACCTGCCTACCAAGGGCCGTTAGTTAACGGCTAGGAGAGGCCACCTTATGGTCGATCATGATATCGCTTTCATGTACATGGATTAGCATTACGGTCGGTCTCATGCTAGTAGAGTCCAGATGACATATCAAGGGCTATTCACATCTCTTCTCCGAGTTCTTTTTCCTGGGTTTGAAACTCGCAGGGGACAACATCACATCCAGAGCCAACTTTTCAACTTCTAAAATAAAGAGATGTGAACTTGCCGAGTAGATATCTTCAGACAGATCTACTCTCTGATTTAGCTTATTGTTTCTGAGCTGAGAACCTGCATTGCATGTATCAAATCCTGTCTTTCATTAATTTTCCTTTGTTCTTGTTATATCTTGCCATTACCAACTCTTGCATGTATTTGACATCACACGAGGACCTTGTCATAAGCTCCGCTTGCATACGAGTATAAGGAAGAAGAAGATTAATAATCATAACTCACTGATATCTGTTGATTCTAGAAGATCAGTGATTAGCTTTGAATATAAGAGATTGCTACCTTGACCCTTGTATATCAATGTGTGAACTTCACACTACCCTTACTATTACTACTACTAAATGTATATTTTATCATTCTATAGCCACCTCTTACAATCATCTTCTCAGATAGTATTCTGCTTTGATTTATTGTTTAAGCAATAAATAATTTATCAGAATCTCCGTGCTATTGTGTTGAAAGATAAATAGACTAGTCACTTATTGAATCATCAAGATTCAGAGAATATATCCTTGATCGTCTTGCTGTAAGATGTTAAATAAGAACTCGCCCTGGAACGAATTCTTGACCACGAAATAACCAGCAACGCGATGAAGGGCGCGACACTATTTCAACTGCTTACAGCGACAAGCCTGAGTTCATCAAAGTTGCATAGGAGTTACCGTCTTTCTACGTTCTCATCCCCGTTTTCCTCGTCGGTCCCGAGCCAGTTACTCTCAGTGTCGGATCACAGTCTCGCCAAATATGACAGGTTCTTCCGGTACACAACCGGCCGCTGGCTTTGGGATGAGGAAAAGCAAACTACAGGATCGATTTACACCTTTCAATGTGTTGGAACTCCAGTGTATTGCGGCCGAAAGTATTGGAGCGAACAAGTGTGTTGCCATGACAAAGTTGGCGGAAGGCTCTTTTAACAAGATCTTTCATCTTAAGATGGACAACGGGTCTACTGTCATTGCGAGAATACCTCACCCCATCGCCGGTCCCAAGTACTATACCACTGCATCAGAGGTCGCGACGATAGATTTTGTAAGACCCGCCTTGCCCTCAACAAGGGACATCTAGTTTACTCTGCTACAGGCCCGTACAGTACTCCGGATACCTGCCCCACAGGTTCATGCATGGAGCGCATGCGTCGATAACCCTGTTGGTGCTGAATACATTATCATGGAGGAAGCTACAGGTACAAAGCTGGAGGATGTATGGGATAATCTTTCTCTAGAAGACAGAATTGGTATCATGAAGGATCTGGTATTGGTTGAAAATAAGCTTCTTTCGGTATCGTTCAGCAGGTATGAATGATAAATTCAATGAACTGCAATCCGTGAAGCTGACATGGGACCTAGATATGGGAATCTCTATTACTCTGGCGAGGCAGTCCCCGGGACTGTGGTCGCTGAAGTTGTGAATGATACTTCACGAGAACTTAAAATGGACGTGAAGACACGGTTTTCCATTGGCCCTGTTGTAGTTAGGAAGAGATTTTTGGACAAAAGAATGTTCAGTGATGGATATAGATAGGGGTCCCGGTTCCATGTAAGTCAATCATCTCTCACTCAACCTTTCTAAGCTTAAATTCCTATGAATATGCGGTAGCTTTAGCACGTCGTGAACAGCAATGGATTGAGCAATACGCGATCCCCAAGCCTGCGACCGATCAATTGATAACATCTACAGCACAGAATTCCCCCGAAGCCCATCTTTCTCTTCTCAAAAAGTATCTACAAGTGGGCCCTTAAGTTCTGCCAACAGACGATCCGAATCTCGTCGCATCTTCGATCTGGCATACAGATCTCCATGCCGGCAACCTCTTCGTGGACATCGGCCGTATCACTAGCGTGATTGACTGGCAGGAAGCTTGGGCTGGGCCTCTAGTTCTTCAAGGCCGCCATCCACGCCTAGTTGATTACCAAGGTGATATCATTTTGGAGCCACCACCAAATTTCAAGGATCTTGAACTGAATGAGAAGGCCCGGTTGAAAAGGCAGATTGCTAGTTCCATAATTCTTTATCTTTATGAACAGCAAACAGCAAAGCTCAACCCTCACCTCAACAGAGTCCTCCGTTTAAAACTCGGGCGAGTGAGGTGTGAGCCTATAAGCTTTGTCGGCGACACCTGGGACGACGACATTTTGCCATTGCGCGAATCACTGATAAAAAAGTGGAAAGATATGTTATAAAATCGGTCTCCGGAATTACAATATTCGTTATGGGTATGCCTGTTAATTCCCTGATATAGCCATTGGCATGAGCTAGGATTCAACTTTGCGTGCCCAACTCACTTTACACAGGACGAGCTCCAGAGACACACAGAGGATGGCGAAGGATGGAATGAAGTGCAAGACTTTTGGAGAGCTGTAGCGGGAATTGTCGCGCGTGATGGATGGACTCCACACAGCATGTATGATGAGGCTGTAGCTCTTTTTTTTCAGAACTCAGGGAATTCGGATTAACGAACCTGATAGGAAAGGAGAGAAAGGACTTTGAAGCACAGACGGGGTGGGTGGGGAGCTCTTCCAGTGCACAAGGCAAGACACTAGGGTTTTTATGGCTATTGGTGTCTTGTATGGTGAAAAGCATTGTTTCATGCATGATCTGGAGTCACTCTTCTGGGTTCTGTTCTGGATATGAATTCACTATGATGGCCAGGGAAGGGGAGCACTCTTGAACAATTTGAGAAATGGAATTATATGAGCACTGAAGAGCTGGTGGCTGCAAAGCAAGAAGTGATAAGTGAGATCAAAAGATTAACTGAGAAGTGATCTCATTATGAAAATCTATATCAGCTGCTGATATGTAAGGTGAGGGTGAAAAAAATACCTCAACCTGACCTTTCGTACCGAGCAAAGGTCCCTTTTCCTATATAGTTATCAAAGGTTGCCTGGTAAGCAGCGCTGCGAGGGATGGCTGACCACCCGTGATCCCATTCGTAATATCCACGGCTCATAACTAACTAAATGATAGAAAGTAGATGCAAGCCTGGTTCTACTACATCCATGCTACTGCCATTTAAATCTGTGCATCTACTTCCAGTCATCACCAGCAGACGAAGATGCGGCAGGATCGTGAGCGTTTCAAGTTCAAGGTTTTCATGTTATCTTGTTCTCCTAATCTTATTGTCCCAGAGTAGTCTGGTTGATGTAATGTCGTCCTTTCCTTTTGCATCCCTTTTACCCCTTCCTTACCGCTCGACTCCGGGTGTACCTCTCCAGAGAGGCTTAGCAGGAGTAAGCCTTCTATTTGCTCCACACAATCCAGCCTTTGTTTTCTTCAAAATGGGCATTACATGATCATGTATCCGCATCGTATATGCCACCTTGAGAAAAAAAAGAAGGAAACAGAAAGAAGGGCGTGTGAGTATTATTTTTTGTTTTTCTAAAGTGAATATACACCACACTCCCGACCGACCAGCCAACTAACCCATCATCATAATTTTTGCACCCTTGGGAAGGGAAAACAAGCAAACAAGAGGGACATGGAGAGACACACATGAAGAGGAACAAAGAGATGGAGACGCAGATGGTCGCCGAGGTTTAAACACAGAGGCTGATGAGGAGGAAGAGGGAGGGAAGAATGAGGTTGAGGAAGAAGGGGCGGGGGAAGAGAAAAATAGAACCCGAGCAACGCAAAGCTAAGAAGGAGCCAGAGACAGTTTTTATTTTTTTTCTAATCCTTGGTCTTCTGGGTACCGCGGAGCAAACCAGTTCTTCGGGCCGCAATAAGACCTGCTTTTTGACCTGCGGACGCGTACCGCGAGATTGTCGAGGCTTTACCAATGTGTTGATGGTTACCACCACCGTGAGGCTAGTTGAGGAAGTAAGTATTCTGCACGCTGGGCGGTGGTATTGGGTGTGCGTAGTGGGGAAAAATAAGAAATGTGAGATATAACGTACATGGTCGACTGGATTCATGGCAACACCACGAGTCTTAGGCCACGAGTTGCGTTTGACGGAGAACTTGTGTTTGGCGCGGGAGGCCTCTGTAGAGTTGATAGAGTGGGTTAGCATACTTATATATATATATATATGTGTGTGTGTGTGTGTGTGTGTGTGTGTGTGCGTGTGTGTGCGTGAATGCAATTCCCAGGTCACGTAGCTTTCTCTCATCTGTCTCGATTCGGCGGTTGGGGAATGGCTAGAAAAACGTACTAAGCAGTGGCTTGTCTGTACGACCACCTCCAGCAACAATGCCAACCATTCCTCGAGAGCGGCTCTTCACAACCTTCTTAGCACCGCTGGGGAGTTTGACGCGGGTCTTCCCTTCCTCAGGGTTATGGCCAATGACGGTAACGTAGTTCCCAGACGTACGGCCCAGCGCGCCACGGTCACCCACTTTCTCCTCGACGTTGGTCATGACAGTACCTTCGGGCACGGAGCCAAGGGGAAGGATGTTTCCGACAGTCAAAGTCGCGTTTTTACCAGCGTAGATGAATTGGCCGGTGTACATGCCCTCGTTGGCGATGAAGGTTTCGACGACGTCTTTGTATTTGTATGGGTGGCGGAAGGAGACTTTGGCCAGGGGGGCACCTCTGCCTGCGTCGTGGATGATCTCCTTCACCACTCCGCGGGTGTATCCGTGTCTCTCAGCATAGTCAAGGGTACGGAATTGGGCAGGAGCCTTGTTCAGACGGGTGTGGGCCGCTGTAGAGAAAGAGTTGTTCGATTAGTATCCCTCGTTGCTCGTGCGTTTCTTCCACTTCCATAGACTTGCTATATTCCCCCTTTTTTCCCTTCTCTTGCTCTATTTCACTAGGACGAATTTGGATATTTAGGGGACCCCGCGCAATGATAAAATGAAAATATATGTTGTCCACACGTACTGAAAATGGATCCACGACCCTTCCTCTGATTGCGAATCACTCGACCCATGATGTCTAGCTGTTGTCGGGGAGAAGCACGGAAGGAATGTCAGCAAAGGTCCACGGCGGGATCTTGTAAACGTGGAATGGCTCAGGGAATGATGGTCGGCCCCGTACCTGATTCTTCGTCGAGTTGGCTGCTGCGGATGACGGTTGGAGTGTGATATCGATTCTCCTCGAAATTGACGGTGTTTCTGTGTGGGCTTAGGGTGCGTATCGCTAAGCTAACCGAGTTGGCTCTAGCGCCAGCCCTGGTTACCTTTCGCGATCAAATAACTATCATGGCAGAACATGACTTAACATAACTTGCGACAACGCAACTGGCAGCTGGCAATTTCCAGGTGGGATAGATCTCGGTATGGGGACTGCTGCGCTGGTAGCTTGGGGGAGAGTCATTGATTTTAGGATTGATAGCATGGTCTCTTCCGTGATGAGATTGTCTCTCAACCCCAGGCCTGTGTGCATCATCCGTCAAATCACATTTTCCTGGATATCAAACAGCTATTCAGACTCTCTCCTTTGTCAATATTATGATGAACCCTGAAATATTGTGGTTATTGATGGGTTACTACTGGCAAAAAAGAAAAGCTTTGATGTGGATATAGGTGGATATTTGAAGCGCGCAAAGGACACGGCAAGATGGCGATTTCATCGGATTTTCTAATTCTCATTTTTACTCGCAATGTTGGATTGCACTGGCTGCTGATTATCTTCATTCTTGTCTAATTTCAGGTTTATTATCTGTTGGCAGATCTCTTATGATTTCTTCCCAACTCACGCATCTTTCCGATGTACTTCCTTGTGCAAGTGCTGAGTTGGCCCACAACAATGTTGCCCGTTTCGGGTCAAGGCACTGATTTTTTTTTTTTTTTTTTTTTTTTTTTTTTTCTCAGTTCCCATTCTATCGTCAACTGGCTTTGTCGCATCCTTTTAGAAATTATGATGATTTTATCACCATTACGCTGGTGGTGTGTTATTCGGACTATCCGCTCTAATCTGCCACTGCTGGTATTGGGGGAAACCAGTCGATGCTTGAAAACAGCCCACGTCATATCGATAAATAATGATAGATACGTTGCCGTCATGAACATTGGGTATATGGGTCAATGCCCACTCTCTTGCTGAAGCCTTATTTAACGAGCCACCATTAGTTAAAAAATTGGCTGGTTTGGCTACGATGTCATCTAACAGGGGCCCTTTTTTGCCAGGAGCCAGACAATTTACCAACAGAGTGGGGTGCGATTCTGAATGTTTCATATTTGGAGGGGGGATATTCGTTGGCGACTTTGGAGGAGCAGCGTATCCCAACGCCTAGCTAGGTGTTGGGGCTATTGGTATAGATGCTGCTGGCAGCTCCGTGTTTGTTGGCCCACTATGTTATTCAGAGTTGAAAACCGTGACGGTGACCGGTTTGGGACCGGTTCAATCGAAGGGTCAATGGCTTCTATAGAAATGAATTTTTGACAAACAATATAAATAATTTAGAGTGTGCTAATTCACGCCGATAGCGCCCCAGCAGCAAACCTACTGTGGGGTTTACTTAAGCCTTACTTAGACGAGACATCCGCGTCGTCATAGCCGCGCTGCGAAAGTGTGTTCACTTCCCAAGCAAAAGACCGCATTTACTAACCACCGCCGTCGACCGGACAAGCATCCACCACCCCATAACGCCTCCTGCCAAACCATCTTCCACGGTACGCAAGGACCATGTCGGGCTCAGATTCGTCTTCCCTGTCGTCTCCTCCGTCCACAGATGATGAGACCATCGCTGCGTCTGTCCACCGCAGCATTGGCTTGGAAAAGTACTTCAAACCCAAGACGCCCGCCAAAGCCGCCTCTCCTCCGCCGCCAAAGCGTGCCCCTTCGCCGCCACATGAATATGTGCTCGCAGACAATCCAGACATTGCGGTAAGTAATGTGAAGTCTACCCGATCTTATTGAGCCCTGATATGCGGATTTAACGCGTGTTATGTCTTGCGATCCCAAATGTCCAAAAAAAAAAAAAAATACGCGATGTGCTGATAGTGGTATATTTTTTTTTGTTTAGTTCATTGTGATGTTCCGCTCCAGATTCTCCGATGTCTTTCCCAAATCACTCCCACACTATGGCCCGCAGGACATTGAGAGAGGAGTCACAGATAGTATTCCCGGAGATCATATCGAGAGATTATTGTGCGCTCTAATTGGCCTGTGCCTTAACAGGAAGAGAGATGTTGAGTATGGTTTTACTCACCCAATTTACCCTACCCCCGCTCTTTTACCATCAGCGGTATATAGACACTACGTGTTTTTGATTGGGAATAGACCTGTCTAGAGTTAATTGGCTAATATTTATTTTTGTGTTGTAAAGAAGGGGCCATTACCAACGCGCTCTTGAGGATGTTGTCCAGACTCACTCGTCGCAATGGCCGCGATCATGGGGCGGGAAAAATCCACTTCAAGGTGGGGGAAGTTTTTCAACTATGACTCCTGATGAGCGAGTAAGATTCCCTGTTACGAAGTCACTATGCGCGATGTAACTCGGGCTAAAACTATCTATCGTGGTGCAGCTTGCGTTCCTCAAAGCGTTGATACTTTGGGCACTTTCATCCTCCGACGCCGTCCAAGCAAAACTGAAAGAATCCTACAAGCAAACGCGACATGATGACGATCTCAATCAGCCATTATCCGTCCAACCATGGGGGAATGACGCCTATAAACGCCGGTATTGGCTCATTGAAGGAAGGGATGACACCCATTTCAGACTTTATCGGGAAAATAACCCCGCGTTGAAGAATAGGACATGGTGGAGCGTTGCAGGAACTATTCCGGAACTGAAAGCTGTTGCGGATTCTCTTGCTGAGGAAAAATCACAGCACTCTAAACGGCTGAGCGAGAAGATCTATACTAGCATTCCGAGATTTGAAGGCTCTGAGGAGGTACGTACAAGTCTAACACACCATTTATTTCCCATCCCCCCTCCTACAATTTATATAACCCTTTCCCACAATTGTATTTGGAGATTAAACTAGCTAAACCTGTAATAACCAATCCATACAGAAACGAAAACGTCGGGACTATCGCCTTGCACGAAAAGCCGCCTTCGCTCGCCCGGAGCCGGGCTACTCTCTCTACGAAGGCCGAACTCGCGGCAAGAAACTGAAATACACATATTCGGACGAGGATGACGACTTCTCATCTGACACGGGCCCTACCCGGAAATCAGCTCGCCAGTCCCGCTTCTCCACCCCGAATGAACTACCCGCCGGCCCTACCTTTACCGCCAGCGGCCGACAGGTCAAAGCGCGGGTTGGCGGACCTTATGGCGAGTCAATGCTGAGCGGTCAACGGAAGGATAGACCGCAGTTGCCTTCCTGGTCTGTCGGAGCTGGCGACGAAGAAGTGGATGGTGACGTGGAACAGCCTGTTTCCAATGGGGGGAGGCCGCGACGGGGTACGATGGTTCGGCTATCGAATGGCGCGGGGAGCCATATTGAAGGATATAATGCGGTTGATGAAATTGACGAGGAATCGGAAGCTTCGCCGTCGAGTGGGAATGAATGGGATGGCGATGAGGATAATGATTATGGAGACGGGGATGAGGAGATGACTGATGCCGACTCTTCTAGCCATGACAGCGATGATGAGACTAGCTATGATGCCAGCCACCGGAGCTTAGTGGTCCAGCTGCGATATGGGAAGGCGAGACAGGGGTTAGAAAACAGCAGCCCCGGCCCTGCTTCCGAGACACCTACCTCCGCCGTAGGAAAAGTTTCAAGTACAAGCATACATGTACCGTCTGGGGGAAGCGAAGAAAGACATGAACAACCGTTCGCTGTGGTTGTGCCTGTGCCGCATGAAGCCACTGCACCAGCACCAGCACCAGCACCAGCGCCAGCGCCAGCCGTCAAATTGTACAAACCGCCTATCATCTCTCCTGGGTCTACAGCTCCTCCCACCACAACCCCGCCGCCATCCGCGACCGGCTCAAACTATGATCCTCAAACAACCAATGTAGAGCATCAGGTGAAAAAACCTCAAGCTTCACCTATGGATACTGATATCCCCCACAACCAAGAAAACAATCACCCACTATCCAGACAAAATGGCGTTCTTCCCGGGAATCCGTAATGTGTGGCATATCTCTCGATATCGTCAGCAGTGTTTTTCTCGCCCTACTACAACTTCAGACAGGCACCTACACTCCAAATATTTCAAATATCTTCTTTTCTTTTCGGCGTCACTCTACTATTACACTCGGGGACTACTAAAAAATCCATCCATAATTTTTAGTATTATTTTTTTCTTTCAAATTCATAGAAGCCTGACAAGGGTTTATGTTCGACCTCCCCATTTTCCTTTATACTTTGTCTTCTCCCCCTTCCCCCTTCCACCTTATCCCCTTTCATCACTTTTCAGAGTCGATCTCTTTGTCTGATCATTCCTCCCCTTTTCCTCTACTTTCTGTATTCGTTACAACACGGTGGAAATCAAATAAAGGAAGCGTTTTCTTTCTTTTCTTCCGACTGGGCATAGGGATCTGGTAGTTCTTATGATTGATTTTATTTGGTTAAAAATTTTCATCAATCATTCCTTCCTTTTGAGTTTATAACTGATTATATTTCCGAAACTTTCTGGCTGTGGGATTTGGGATTTATTCGTTTAGTTCATCAGGCTTTTCACTTCTATCTTGTTTCGCCTTTTCTGTCTCTCTCGCTCGCTCTCTTAATTCTCTGATATATATTATTAGGTTTTCCCAAGTGTTTCTTGCCTCTCCTTTAACCTTCTCATCTGTTTCGCAAATTTGGCAAAAGTTCCTTCATATAAGCAAAGGGTTTTACTTTTACTTTTAACTTTTATAACTCTCTGCTGCAAGGGTTTGATGAGTGTTAATATCAAAACATAGATTTACCAAGGAATAGACCTTGCCTGAATTTCAAACCTTCTCTCAAGCCCCACAAATTTTCTTTTTCAAAATATTTTCCGTACAATAGATGTGACTCCCTACGGGGTCTATTCCAAGGGAGAAAAACAAGTACTTGGTTGTTTCGTTAGAGCAGGTGTTTGTGCCACAACAACAGTCAAAAATTTCTATGGAAAGTTACCCATATCGAGCTTTGCAGGACGCCTATAACGCCCAATATAGACCCCGATTGTTGGTCGGAAAAGTATTCTTCCAGCTTTTGCCATGCTAACGCCCAAGTTAAAATGAACCCCTTCGCTGGCGATCCCTTGGTGTCGAGTGAGGGTAGCAAATTCTATCCTCACGAAGCAAATCCTCCGTGCCGCGCCCGTTTTCTGGAATCTCAGGGTTACATAGTCAGAATGGTATTATTGTACAGTACATACAGCCCCCCCCCAAAATGCCAGAATGTTGAATGCACATTATGACTTCATATTTAATATTCGTTCATAACTCGGGTATCTTCCAGTTATTCACCTCCCACCACCATCTGCGGATCCTTGTACCCAGCGTCCGTCCTTTGAATTGGGTTCCACAATTCCAATACCGCCAGCCCGCGAGCGCGAGTGTCCATAGCGTTCCTTGCATCAGAGGGAGGCAGACCTATTTCCGTCAAAAGACAAAATCAGTAAAAGTAGACATCGAAAACAGACGAAAGAAAAAAGAAGCAATATAAAAATATATATGGTACATATATCCAGGATATGTTATATTACCTGATCCCGCAACGTGATCCATGCAACCTTCTGCCATGTTTCCGCCCCCTTTAAGCTCGCTAGGTAACTCTGTTCGAAGCGCAGGTCCGGGAGCGGCGGCAGGGTGGTGCGTTGCACACGGCGTATCGCCCGGTGAGGGTCGACAATGTCTGTTGATATAGATGTGGCATCCGACGGAGAGCGGTAGTGATGGGTCTTGATGGTGACCGGCTCCTTTTGAGAGGCAGCTGTAGCCAGGCTGATGTCATGGGTTGTGGAGGGATGAGGATTCATGGAAGCGGTTTGGATTGTTTCGAATTGGACTGCCGAGTCAGTCACTTTCAGTCGCTGTGAGGGTTCTTGGGCATGGATTGATTGTGTATATGGCTGGGTGTTGAAGCGTTGAGAGAACTCGTGTTCAGATAAATATGCGTAGCAACGAAGATGCGTATGTAGTCGGCAACTCCAAGATCTCTGCCAACCCCACCCAAGAAATACCACCACCCTCACCAAGTATATCAATTCCTCTTCGTACAAACAGCCGCCCTACGTACTATCAATTGATATCTTTCACAATAGAAAATGGCTGCTACGGAAGGATATCCGCTTCTCTGCCTGGAGAATCCCCTGCTGGGTAAACCGCCGCCTACTAATTCCTGTCGAGTTTCCCTGCTAACCTGCCCCTCATTCTAGATATTCAGGGAGTCGGGTAGGTCCAACAATAGGGATTGACCTATCTCCTTTACTCTATGTTCACCTGTGCTCTACTAAAAGCATAGTTCAGGGATGCCGCCATGCTCGAGAAATATGGTCTGAAAGCCAACGATGCCGTTCTTGCAGAGGAGAAGCATATGGGTCTCTTTGAGGACCTCATCCAAAACCGAAATGCCAAGTTGATCGCAGGAGGGGCTGCGCAGAACACTGCTCGCGGTGCTCAGGTATATTGCGGAACAATAAAAACTATTACTCCCCCGGGCGCCTTGGAAAGTCCAAGGAACTAATGGCGTCTCCAATTTAGTACATTCTTCCACCAAACTCAGTTCTTTATATCGGCTGCGTCGGCAAGGACAAGTACGCAGATATTCTCCAAGAAGCCTGCGACAAGGCCGGCCTGCGAACAGAGTATCGTGTTGACGAATCTCAACCCACCGGCCGCTGCGGTGTCATTATCACAGGCCACGAGCGAAGCCTCTGCACCCATCTTGCTGCTTCTAACGAGTACAAATTGGAGCACTTGAAGCAGCCACATATCTGGTCCCTGGTTGACAAGGCTAAGGTGTACTATGTTGGCGGTTACCATTTGACTGTGTGCGTACCGGCTATCCTGGCATTGGCTGAAGAGGCCTCTGCAAAGAACAAGGTGTGTATCGTTTATTCAGCGCCCTGCATCTCAAAGGGGCTTTTCTTTCCCCTTCTACAGATATTAGTTTAGCTAAATTAAAGACCTCTCCCATTTTGCGTGATAGATCTTCATGCTTTCTCTCTCGGCCCCGTTCATCCCTCAATTCTTCAAAGAGCAGCTCGACTCCGTCTTCCCATACACAGACTATGTCCTAGGCAACGAGGAGGAGGCGCTGTCGTTTGCCAAATCTCATGGATGGGAAACTTCCGACGTCCAAGAAATCGCCAAAAAGATGGCTACATTTTCTAAGAAGAACACCAATCGGCACCGAACCGTCATCATCACCCAAGGAACCGACTCTACGATTTCTGCTATTGCTGATGCTGATGGAAATGTTCAAGTTAAACTGACGCCGGTCCATGCCATCTCGGAACATGAGATCAATGACACAAACGGTGCTGGGTAAGATTTACCCTTTACAAGCGACAAGACGTTGTTGGTCCTAGGTGGTAGCAGTACACTAATTCGATTTTTCAATCCTTGGATGATTAGCGATGCCTTCGCTGGTGGCTTCTGCGCCGGAATCGTGCGGGGCAAGAGCGTCGACGAAAGCATTGATATGGGTCATTGGCTTGCCGGACTCAGTATTCGAGAATTGGGCCCATCGTAAGTTTTACTGTTCCCAAAACTGCTCCGAAGCGCGAGTTTTGGACGAACTTACACATTTCCCTCTCACTTTCAAAATCATAATCACTGACCCATGCATCCGACCTACCAGCTATCCATTCCCGAAACAAGTTTATAAACCCTCATAGAAAGCGCCGATTCAGCGAGATTAAAAAAGCACACAACAAAAAAATATTTTCAATTCTCCCTCTTTGACTCATCAGCAGTTCTTTATTATCTCCAAATTCATTGAAGAGTCCACAGACTCAGCCCCAGATACCCGCCAATAAATACCGTAACGAAACCCCTCTTATCACAATAAATTACTTAGAGATCTCAAGTCTACAGCTTCCCTTTTCCTTTCAATGCAGCTTTTGAAAAATTATTATCAACACGTATCAGCAAAACATTCAACCCGCTGGTAATTTCGATTTTGGCCATACGTTATTTGAACCGACCCAGGGCCATATGTCCTCTTAAGGCCAAAGAGTCTGCATTCCGGTGTTTCCCGTTGAAGATTCAACCTTTCCTTGTTTTATTTTTTATATTGAATCCTTTATACTTTCTCTTTTCTTCCTGGACCCCGGACATGAGGCGTTTTGATGTGATGGTGAAACATGGAGAAGGGTGAGCAACAAACAAAGAAGATTCAAGAGTTGATAGATCAAAAAAGCAAGAAAGGGGGGATGGGGGGATGGGGGGATGAGGGGATGAGGGGATGAGGGAGAAGGAGGGGTGTTCAGAGAATTACACGTTTTCAACAACGCTATAAGCTTCTCATTTTCTTTTCTTTTCTTTCTTTTTGAAACGCGGATAGATCTCTCTGTTTCTTGACAATTATATATGATTCCTTGGGTGCAACAAGGTGACTAGATGGAAGCAGACGGACGAACCTAACTAATGGATGACTTACTAAAATACAAAGAATAATCCGTGTTGTATCTATCTATCTATATATATATATATATATATACCCAAGAAGTGAAGAAAATAACAATTTATATAATTCTGAACAACGTAAGTTAAAACAACAAAATCAAATCAAATCTGCCAGCCTTGTAAAATACATCACTATATATTAAACTATTATGAAAGAGAAGAAGACAGAAAATGTTGTTTTAAAAGAAAGGGAGTAATGAGCAAAAACAAAAAAGAATATTCAAAATATGCTACGTATGTATGTGCGAAGAGTTTCCTTCAGGAGAATCCTTGCAAAAACTAATAAAAGCCAGAGCATGGTGTACATGTATTGACTGAATAGATAAGCACAGCACGAAATAAACAATCCATCCATGCAGCCAGCAAAGCGACAACCGGGTGGAGAGGTATAAAAATAAAAATCTCTTTAACTAAATCCAATTAATGGCGAAGGCTCCATTCATGGCTGTCAGGCCTACGATAACATTAAGACAATTCTACACCACATTTCACGGGGATGTGTCTCAGTCTATTGCACTGATCCCCCCGTGCGACGATGAGCCCTACATCTAATCCGATGAAAGAAGGCCTGGGACGGCGAGGTGTGTTTTGGGTAGCAGGAAAGCAAACTAGCCCCGGGTTGGTGTCACCCCATTCTTATCAATCGTGTTGAGGCTTTGCTTTTAGGGGCAAGGGAAAGGAGCCCAGCAGAGATAGACAAAGGACTCATTTTGGATTTAGTTTTCGGAAATGCAATCGCAATTTCTCACCGTTAAAACACTTCTGCGAGGGAATGAGATGGACGCTTCTGGAGCTGTTGCTGATGAATGACTGATAGGCGCAGTAGTCCTCGTTAGTGACTGAATGAAGAAGCCATGGAGTTCGTGATGAGAAAAACATTAAGTAAAACCGGCCAGTTGACTTTTTCGAGGCAATGTCCCATGGAAGCCGAAATTTCTTACATGGTCCTGTCTTATCTTAGTGAGGAGAAGACAGGCTCGTCGTAGTAGTCGCGTAGAAAGCTGACTAGCCAGTATGCAGCTGGATTAAGCCAAGATTCACATTTTGAAATTATCCGATTCCCCCAATCATTTCACCAACCCGAATGAACATACCCGACGATAGTGTGGCACGCCCTCGCTGATCTTCCTTGCCTGCCTACATCCTTATCATCGTTTCTCCAAGCAAGGGCGAAATGGAAAACAACACCCTTCGACTCTTCACTTTCTCTCATCCCTATGTGATAAATAGGCAATATATCCCGTTTATTGTGCCACAAAAGAAAACATTCCTAAAATAGGTCATCCGCCACTCCCCTGTCCACTGGGCGGTGTCTGGCCAATAACGCCGGCACCCAAATGCGATGCTTTAGATTTCGCACTAGAAACTGAATTGTAGGACGAGTACTGGTAGTACGGACTTCCCGGCTGATTAGGTCCGCGCTGTTTGTACTGGAGAGTAGCATTGTTCAAAGGCCAGTTGAATGGAAGACCTGGTGGTGGATTGTGAGTTGCATAACCGCCTCCACCATCGTTATTATAGGAAATACTTGGCGTTTGCATCTGCGTTGGCGATAAGTTGCTTGTTGGATATGAAGAGTCATTGGGCGTGGATGGGGCTTGTAAGCTGTTTTGGAAACCTATCCCGTACTGTTGTAGTCGTGAGAAATCTTGGGTCTGGGAGAATCCTCTGTTATTATTTGCGTAGAGGTTCGGATGATATTGTTCGCCTTGCCTGATGGCTGTAGAAGGACGGGTTGCCGGGGATATGGCCTCACCTGGTTGAGGCGCAAATGGGGTATTTAGAATACTTGGTAGAGTGGGGCGGGGTGAGTATGATTGTAGGGGCAGAGGCTCAATGATGGGGCTGTACGAATTGAGGGTTCCAGTTCCAGCTCCAGTTGCTGTGCAATGACCGTTACTAGAGTGTTCGCCACTGCCATCTTGTTGAGAAGCTGTATTGTGGGTATTGATGTTAATAATGTTTGCGTTGTGCCATGCCGTGGATGACGAGAGGGTTCTTTCAATTGGTGGACAGTTCTCATTTGTCTCCGATTCGACAAGTTTGTCAACCATCTGGTTCATGGCGAGGGAGATGGATGCGGATGCTGATTGGGAATTGGCATATTCCATTGTCTCCGGGTTAGATTCAGGTGGGTGAATGTCTTCGCGGTCTATGCTAGTTGAAGAAAGAGTATGTCTGTGTTGATGCCCGCTTGGGCTCGAGAATTGAGGGAGCCCTTCTTCTTTATAGACGAATAGTTTTGTCTCATTACTATCTGCTAGAATTATGGGGATTTTCTGTAGACAATGATTTAGTTCACGTCTCCAGAGATAGGTAGATAGATAAATTGGCAGGGGAAGAGGGGAGAATAAGAAGCAAAGAGAAAACATTACCTCCTGGACAATCAAATCAAGACCATCAATCACAAATTCACGGACGCGAAATAGCATCTCAATATGAACGGGCAGTTTCTCCTCGAGATCACCAAGTCTGGGTTTTTTCTGCCCACGCTCATCAACGTATCTTTGCCACGTTATATCATTAACGAAGGGACTAAACCCGAGTGTATCTTCATCTTCATGAAGAAGATACCCGATGTCGGAAAGGCTTGGCACGTCAAAACTAGAAGTAAGTAGATTTAAAGTGCTCGCGTACATTTTCCAAAACTCTTTGATCTGCACACACAGCAGAGTATCCTTATCTTCACAGACCAAAGAGCCACTATTCGAAAGCAACCAGGAGCTATATTGTCGCAAGGCAGGCAAAACAATTTGCGCGACGGGAGTGATTTTCTCAGACTCGTTTGCCGCAACGGAGCATTCAAGCTCGGAAAGCAATATCTGTAAGAGAGTGAAGAAAGTCTTCACATTAAGTCTCTGGAAAAACTGCCTAGCATCGCGTGCGGGCTGTACACCGTCCGCATCTTTTTCCCGGTTCGCCCACCTGGCATTTGCATAATCTTCAGCAGCGATGTTTATTAAACAAAATTTCTGCAGTAGAGGCGGGTGCAATGAAAGCTCTTTGAGATCAACCGCCATTTGACTGAGGATCTCATTTTCGAGTTCATCATGCTCTGGAAAATCTACCCCCTTGTAGCACTGGGCATGTAGGTAGATGAACATTGAAATTAGCGTGGCCTTCCCATCCTCTGAGCTTCCGATAGACTCCCCCTTAGCACAAGCTGCTAACACCTTTCTGAATTCGATTTCTAGATTCCCGTTGGACGTCGGGTATGGCTCGCGGGCAGATAAGGCGCGGTATAGATGATAAGTTGCTTGCAGATGGTTCCCATCCGCAAGCCCAATAACAGCTAGCTGGTTGTGAGACATTCCCGAGTCTGGGTTAAGAGTATCGGCCAATTTATAATATCTGATAGCACAATCCCAATTTCGATTCTTCGTCGGCGGAACCAATTCCATTTCGCGATAACGGGAAAGATCGCCAAGGCGGATAAGGGTTGCATGGCAGGTAAGCACAACACTGTTGCGTAGATCTTCCGGAATTTCAGGTTTATCTTCTGCGGAGAGAGCTTTTCATACGAAAGTCAGCGAGGCGGACAATTTGGCAATGTATTCGACTATCCTTCCCATGGTGTATATCTTACTCTCAAATTTAAGCTCCTTGGCTAATTTCTCCAGTTCCGGGATACAGTTGAATCGCGAAACAAGATGTTGGATGTAGCCACGGTAGAAGCGCTGACTCGATTTGATAAAGTTCAAATAATGGCTTTGCAGTTTCCGAGTTTCAGTGGGTCTCTTTTTCTGTGCGCTTTGATCACGGAACTGGTTCAGGATAGAGAGTATCAACAGAACTGAATGTCTAACAATGTGAAAATTTATTCAATAGGGATCAAACCTACACGAGATAAAAGCTTGCGAAACCGTGTGTTGATCTTCACATGCATATCCCATAACCGGCCTTCGACCTGCAGAGATGCGCTCTCCGTTCCCAGCGTTTTATTTTTTTCATCGTTCTGCTGCACTCGGGTCTCGAAGCAGTGGAATACGGTATTTTGACATGCGATGCGGAATCTGCGGACGGCGGAACCAAGTATATCAGTGTACGCCCTCCCAGCCAGCTCCTCGGGTATATGTGTAAAAGAGACCAAGGATGACTTATGCAAGCGGATAGCGGACATACTTAGCAAGATATTCGTTGACTTCAGCAAATGTCGGTTCCTTTTCAGAGAGGACCCTCAAAAGATCCTTTTCACCGTCAAGTTCGAAGCTAAAGTTATCCAAGAACTGAAAGTAAGCATCCGGCCATGTTATCTTTATCTCGTTTTTCACGTCCTCCAAAAAAAGTAGAATTCAAGGCAAAAAAGGGCGGTTGGCAAAAAACAAGAGCCTCAATCTATCTCCACCACCCATGTATGTTTGTTTATTCCTTGCTGCGGGCAATGAGCCACTCACATCTCAACAGCATTGTCACCATACTGTCCTCCCGCTGCCATCGCCTAAAACTCTGCCAACTCTCTCTAGATGGATGATCAGAAGAGTAAAAGCTGCTGGAAATCCACCAAGTAGCAGACACTCAAACGGGGGATTCCTCCACCAGCCAAGAAAAATAACGAGAGGAGCAAGTTCGGAGTCAAAATATGTGGCCTTCTCCCCATCAAGAAGACGCAGGGTGCGCAGGGTGTCCCCGTTTTCTCGTCCTTTTCCCCCTTTGCCGTACTTCCCGGCGCGTGCTCTTCCCTTCGCTCTTGCGCTGTGCTAAGTTGGGGTCAGATGAGGGCTTGTCGCGAATCGTCGGAGGGTTGCCAGGACGTCGCAGGACCCGAATCCATTGGGGAGCGCGAGCTGGACGAATGGAAGGGATGGGAATGAGGAGGGGGGAAGAATGTAGATAGGTGGCGGAAAGAGAGATGGGCCTACTCTCTTGTGGAAAGCGAGAGAATGCCGCCGATCGAGAGTTAGGATAGTTGTGCTAACAAGAGCCAACTGTGTTGTTGCATTGATTTAAATGACTGGAAGGGATGGTAGTGCCGAACGCCACCGCCTTTGGACAGGATGCGATCAAAAAAGTAGTCTCACACTAAGAAATTCAAACTGAAATATTCATGCCTTAACTGAGAAGGTATTATATTTCAGAAGGCTTTAGGGGTGATCAATGCCTGTGGTTTGCTCCCTAGCTCACTACGCCGCGTACGTCTTGCCCACCGGTCCAAGAAAAAGATCCTTTACAATACTGCTGCGTAGAGTTGTAACTAAATGGGATGCAGTTTAGATTATCATTCATCCGCTTAGAAGGACGCTGTCAAAAGTAGTGTCTCACACTAATTTAACTACATTTCATGGGTGCTGATAATGAGATAGAGACTGATAAGACACACAAAAAATCATACATATATTGATAGGAAGCTAATAGCCACGTAATTTCGATCCTCATAACTATCCTTTATCTCTTGCTGATCCCCCAAAAAATACCACTCATATAGTAGCTTAAAAAATTAGTAGCACAAAAAAAAAACCCATGAAACACTTAGTATTTACAACTGGCTCTTAAGTCCTTTAGCATTCAATAATCGCTGCGCCTCTGCCTTCTGCCAATTGATCTTGTTCGTCACTTCGGCCATCCGCTGCTTATTCTCTCTCTTACCCATCTGCTGCAAGTGAACCTCATCAGGGCCATCAGCCAGCCTCAATGTGCGGATACCCGCCCACATGGATGCCAGTGGCGTATCCTGACAGACGCCCATGCCGCCATGCCCCTGCACCGCACGGTCAATGACAGCCAGCGCCGTCTGTGGCACAAGCACCTTGGCCTCCGCAATCTCCCTCAACGCGCTCTTGGCATCGCCATTATCGATCATGATCGCGGCATTCAGCACGGTGAGACGTGCAGCGTCAATCTCAATGCGGGACTTGGCGATCCATTCGAGAATGACGCCGTGGGAAGACAGGACAGCGCCGAAGGGCTTGCGCGACTCATCGTTGGCGCGGGCGATGAGGTACTCGAGAGCTCTCTCGGCGGCGCCGATAGCGCGCATGGCGTGGTGGATGCGGCCGGGTCCGAGGCGACCTTGGATGATCTTGAAACCACATCCCTCACCGAGAACCACGCTGGAGGCCGGTACGCGGACGTTGTTGAAGGAGACGTGGCCGTGGCCGTGCGGGGCATCGTCGTAGCCGTAGACGGTCAACATGCGGTGGACGTTGATACCTGGTGTATCCATAGGAACGAGGACGACGGATTGTTGTCTATAGGGGTCCGGGTTGTTGGTGTCGGTCTTGCCCATGACAATTAGGATTTTGCATCTTGGGTCACCGATTCCAGAGGACCACCATTTCTGTTTTGGAGCCGGGTAGGGGATATGTATTAGATTTTCATAGATTATTGAGTAAGTTAATGTGACACAGAGCGTACCTGGCCATTGATGACGTATTCATTGCCCTCTCTTCGGATATCGAGCTTGATGTTTGTAGCATCGCTGGACGCAACATCTGGTTCTGTCATGAGGAAAGCAGAGCGGATCTTGCCCTCTAACAGAGGCACGAGCCATTGCTTCTTCTGTGCCTCGTTTCCATACTTGGCTAATACCTCCATGTTTCCAGTGTCTGGAGCCGCATTGTTGGTAGCCTATTTTGTATTCAATCGGAATCAGTTTATTGATTCAAAAACGTAAAATGGAATGCAACGAACAAAACTATCCCTTTAAAAATGAAGATGAGCGCCGGGAAAGGACTCGCAATATAGCAGCATACCTCACTGGCAACCCGACTTCGGCCCAGATATTCCGCCATCAATCCGTACTCCAAGTTACTGAAGCCGGCGCCCTCCTTGAAATGGTTCTTGGGCAAAAACATATTCCACAGCCCCAACTTTCTGGCCTTGGCTTTCAGCTCCTCGAGGATAGCAGGGGTAGCGGTCCATCGCTGGGCTCCCTCACCCAGTTCAGCTTGGAAAACGGAATCAGCGGGGATGCAGTCTTTCTCAACGAATTCTTGGACCTGAAGAAAGCAGCCTCAGTCAGTATGGAGCTTGGCCGGTTAAAAAGGAGGTCTCAACCGACAGTATTTTCATTCACCAGGACACCTGGTGTTTGATCGGGCAGACACGGGACTTCGAATGATTTACTTTAAAGGATATCACATACTAGATCCAGAGTCTGCTTTGCACGCTCACTGACAAACGGCAGCGCAATTGGGGGGATTTTGGAGGAAGCCGACATGGTTGCACTGAAAATGTAGTCGACGGGAAGAACGAAGATACGAAACGGGTTTGTTCGCTAAGAGGAAATGAGAATGACTCAAGGCACGGCTCTGAATCTGGGGGAGGCCAGCGTATTTAAAGCAAACACAGACTTGGCCTATAGCAAACTCGGGAAAAAAAACTTGTATCTCGATGTGCTGGTGGTGGAGGAGGGCTTATCCGGCCGCAGAGACATAGAGCCTCGGCTGTCGAAGCTGGCCAGCGCCGGTGTGCCACAACTAGTAACAAAATCAATCGGTCTTGATAGTTGGAGTGGAATTGAGAGAGACAGGTCCTCTTTATTTATGAGTACGTTAGTGGAAGACATAAAGGAGATGACAATAGAGTTTATTTTCTGCTAATAC